TAGATTCTCCTGAGAAAAGAGAGCGTGACTGATAAACACGAAGTTTTCCGTGCGCAGAGTTCGTTTTCCTGGCGTTACATGGCAGTTTCCATCGGAATGTGCTCAGCACAGAAACTATGGGTCATTTTTCAGCCCAAAGGCTTCTCTTCATCATTTCTGTGGGAACGGGAATGCAGACCTTTGAAAGGTTTTCATACAAAATGGTGATGAGTCTGGGGGGAGTCCTCTGGACACGCACAGAGGGGACGTGGGGGCGATGAAGCTACGCCCGTCTGCAGAGGAGGAAGTCTTCTCAGCATCTCCCTCGTCCTCCCGGTCACTCCACGCTTCCTGTGGCAGAGGCCAGAACCCTGGGGCCACCCTTGGCTGGCCCCTCGCTCCCCTCCTGGTCCATCAGCAAATCCTGCAGGCTCTGCCTTCACGCTCGTCTGGAGCGCCCTTCACCCCGGTCTGGCTCTCAGCAGCTGTCCCCTGGGCTATGATCATCGCCTCCTTAGCGTCCTCCTGCTGCCCTTGAACCTCCAGTGCCCAGACAGGCCTGCTGTGAGCTCAGCCAGGTTGGGGGAGCTCCGCTCAGCCCCTTTCCGTGGCTCCCACTCCATTAGGGAGAAGCCTGCTGCCCAGCACGGTCCCCTGTGCTCAAAGTGGGGCCCCCACACGGAGCCCTCCCTCGCACAGTCCAAGCCTGGCCCTCACCGGCTGTGTGCACAACTGTGCAGACTCATCCCTTGTTCCAGAGGCCCCTCCTCCAGGCATCTGCGTGGGTCCCCTGCTGTGGGGAGCCCTCACTAGGCCCCACATCCTGAGGGTGGTCCCCCCATGCCCAGAACTCTCTATGACGTGCCCAAGTCACCGCTGTCTCTTGGCCCCCTCTGTGTGCCTTAGCTATTATTTTATCTGCTGCTTCTGCTTAGAATATTCTCAGTTACTTAAGAGCGGAGATCTTGCTCATCTTCTAATGCTTCTGTATCTCTAACGCTTGTAACTGTGCCTGGGACACATGAAAGGCTCGGGGTCCATCTCGGGGGGCACGCAGGTCCCTGACGTTTAGGAAGAGCTGGTCGGGTGGAGGGCCTCTCCCTCTGTTTCCCTCCCCCAGAGCCGGAGGGCTTCAGGGCACTGCTGGAGGGGCCAGACTCCGAGCCCACGGGCCCTGCGACTGTGCGCAGGGCCCTTCTTTCTGATTCTTGATTTGTTCCGATGTGAAACTGGGATGAAACAGCAGTTCTGCCTAAACGAGTGTGGGTTGTGGCTGACATTCCGGAGCGCGGAGGCTCGTCCTGGGGCAGAGCAGAAGGTACTGGGTGGAACTGTGCCCTCTCCACCCGCCTCTTTCAGGAGCTGACGGTCTCATAAGCTAACTTCTGGCAAGGCGGAGGGTTTGTTATGGAGTCGTCCTCCATTCTCCCTGGGGCGCCTGCAGTTTTTCCTCCCGTGGCTGTGATTGGGGCTGTGGCTGGTTTTGCTGTGTGTGTGGCCGTGGTTGTGAGCAGACGCCTTGCATCCTGGATCACCCTGGTGTTTCCGCGAAGGGCAGGCTGCACCTGGCTTCGTCTGCGGGGGCTCTGAACTGTGGCAAATGCTCTGATTAAATCACATTTTTCTTATCCACAATCAGGAAACAGGAAGTGATTCGACACAGAACATTGCATCAATTATGATCAGATTGGGGAGATTCTCTTTGATAAGCATTTTCTGTCAGCCTGTGCGTCTAGCACCGCAGGCAATCAGCAGCAGAGGGACCTCTCCCCACCAGGCCTCCCCATGCCGGGCCTCCCGCAGAGCGCACCTCCCCCGGGCCTCGCCCCCAGCCCCAGGCTCACCCCCCAGGCCTCGCCCCCAGCCCCAGGCTCACCCTCCCCCGGCCCCAGGCTCACCCCTGGGCCTCGCCCCCAGCCCCAGGCTGCCCCTTCCCGGTCTCACCCCCGGCCCCAGGCTCACCCCCCGGGCCTTGCCCCCGGCCCCAGGCCGCCCCTTCCTGGTCTCACCCCCGGCCCCAAGCTCACCCCCCGGGTCTCGCCCCCGGCCCCAGGCCGCCCCTTCCCGGTCTTGCCCCCGGCCTCTCCTCCCAGGCCCACTTTCCCCTGTTTTGTCTGTGGGACGCTCTCCTTTCTGAGCTCTGCCCTGGGCTCCTGCAGGGTCACAAACCCCAGCTTTGGCTTCGGGAGGAGACTCGACAGAAGCTGGTGGTTTGGCTGCAGGCAGGCCACATACACCCAATTTTAAAACTGAGTTCTCTCTTTTGGATTGCATTTATTTTTCCGCTCTTTAAAATGTATCCTGGTCAGATGGTTTGTGAGTGAAGACCAGACCCTCAGAGACAGATGGTGAGAGATGTTCAAACAGGAGACTCTGGGGGCGGGGGGGGCAGGACACTAAGCTGAAGCTGGGGTCGGGGGGTCCCCAAGCGCGTGCCTGAGACTGGCTTTGAACCCTGGCTTCTCCGTAACCCTGGTTCCCAGGGTTGCTGCGAGGGTGGCAGGCGGGGCTGGGCCAGTGACCGCTATGCCGTCAGGCAACGCGGGGCCGAGGGCGGGCTCGGGGGGCGAGTTTGCTATGACGTGGCTTCAATTCCTCACTCCTCTACTCCTTCCAAATAACAGGCCCCGGGGTGGTGACACCTGGCTTTTTCTTTCCCGTGGGGTCCATTTGATGAGGAAAGTTTGCATTGCAAGCTTTCATTTTTTTCTTAGATTCTATGCAATGAAAAAAACCTCACATGACCCAGCTGTCTGTCAATAATAGAGTGGGTTACTGAAATAAAACGAAAGGCAGGTACATTTATGCTTCCGCACTGGATTCCAAACCCGTCTGCCTCCTGGGCTTGGCACTGAAGTGTCCCAGGGGCCCGAGTGGGAACACCGCGTCCGCGTCACGGGACACGCAGCTCCCGCCACGGCGTCTCCGGCATCTTCCAGCTGTTTACGCTGTGAACGGACTTTCGTGATTTTTACTCTGCCTGAATTCTGACTTGCAGAACTGATTTCTGTCATGACTGGCCTAAACTGTGAAATCAGCACAAGTTTTCCTGAAGGTTCTGTTTGGGGCGCTTTCCCTTTCGCTTCTCTTACAGGCGCCTTCTCACAAAGATGTCCTATGTCCCTGGCTTGCCAGGACAGGAGGACAAAGGGTACTTTCTAGAATCTGTGGTTGGGGCACATTGCAAAGGGGCGGGGGTAGATCTTTTTAAACAAAAAGAGGAACTGAAATCAGTTGATTTTCTTTCCCTGTTCTCATGTAGGAAATGGAACACCTCCTGGTGTTATACGCAAAGTTGTCCGATATCTTGAGTCCTTGTGTGAAAAACACAAGGGAGTTGCTAGCCTCGGCGGCTCGTCTGGTCAACATGAAGCTTTAGGGACATAAACGTTGCCTCCGTGGTGAAGCTTGTTGGGGTTTAGGGGCGGTGCTGACAAGGGCGGTCACGTCTCACTCTGCTTACTCTGAGCTCTGTTCACTGATCCACAACGACATACGGGCTATTGTTGCTGGATTGAGTGAGATCCATGGCTCTTGGGGGGCAGATGGGGGGCTGTTACAACCCCCATCTCACGTCTGAGGCCAAGGTGGTGACCACAGCAGGTGGTATATAAGTTCTCTTCTCTTCAACAATGACCAAAGGATTTTAATGATTTGTGCCCAGGCAGGCACCGGCCCATGTTGCCTGTGGCTCTGTCAGAAGGCATTGTGTGTGTGTGTGTGTGTGTGTGTGTGTGTGTGTGTGTGTACAGGGGTGGGGCGTTGCCCAGGCAACTAGGGAGGCCAGGCTGGTATTGGAGGCCAGCATCTGCAGCCTGACTACAGCAGGTGAGAATTCCTGTCTGGGTCCGTGACTCGGAGCTGGGAGGAGGGACACAGAGGCATGAGGATTTCAGGACCTGGGACGGGGCAGCCTTGATATCGGGGGCCTCACTGGGTCCGCAGGGAGGAAGGGAGAGGCTGCAGGAGCGCTAAGTGCGTGCCTCTGACGGATGCGGCGGCGAGCGGCTTGTCTCAGAGTCAGGACGACCTGGGCTTAAACGGAACTCCTCAGCTCACTAACCTGCAGCCTCCAGCAGCTGCCCTCCCACCCGAGCCTTAGCTTCCGCCTGTTCCGAAGGGTGATGCTGGAGCTTCGTGGAGGGCAGCTGTGAGAGTGAAGATGAAGTCACATGTGCGCAGCGTCCCATGGGATTCCTGGAGAAAGCAGGCTTTAAAAGACTAGAAGTTATCTTATGCAACGTTTGCTATTACTAAAAGTTTTACTTTTATAGTTACACAAAACGTGTCTATTTTAAACTGATAAGAACAGATACTACACTTGATCTTAGCCAAAAGGCCAAGAAGTGATAAAACGTGTCTATTTTAGATACTCCTAGAATGTCTGGGAAATGGGAGCTGGTCCCCCAGAAAGAGCATCCTGATTACCTGGATAATTTATTGACAAGGTGCCCATGGTGGAGCTTCAACCTGGGGTTCTCATATGCTTCCTGGGAGCCAGGGTAGAACTCTGCCCCCAGGGCCGCCTTGATGTTCTAAGTCCCAGTACTGAGAATGGGAGTGAATTTGGAAATAGGGCTGTGGGCTCATGCTGTGGGAGGGTGGCCCGCAGTCTGACACCTGGTGTCCTTAGAGTAAAAGGGAGGTTTGGAGACAGAAACGCAGAGAGAAAGGACGGCTTGGATGCAGGGAGGAGGGTCTGTGATGATGGAGACAGAGCCTGATGTGGTGAACTGAGACCAAGGAGCTGATACGGGGAGTGGATGTAGGGCTTGCCAGCCTCCAGCAGGAGCCGAGACACACTGGGAGCAGATGGTCCGTCAGAGCCGTGATGGACGCCCAGCCTGTGACGTCTGCGTTTCCAGCTCCGGACTCCAGAGTTGTGCCATGGCCTTTGCTCTGGGGACATATTTGTGTCTTACTTTGCTCTGGGGTCTGAGCTTTTCCTCCTGACCTTCTAAAATATCAGCGGTTGGTGATTTGACACCCACTCCATTTCCTCCTTTTACCTTGTTGCTTGCTTCGTGGAAAGGTAGGGCTCCTACCATTGGACTCAGCTCAACCAGCGCCAAGTGATCACTTCCATTGTGCTTAGCACTCCTAGAAGCAGCGGAAGAAATCAACGTGAAGATGACCTAGGTCTTCCTGAAGCAAGGATTCAAGGTGCGCGGACACATTTCAAGCACATAAGCGTGCACCTGCACGGACCCTGCTTGCTTTTTTTGTTTTTGTTCCTGAACGAAGTCTTACGAATTTTCCAGGTAAATTTTCTATCGCAGCAGCATCCCTGGGACACCACTCACGGCGCCCAGCATGCCCTGGAGCAGCTCAGCTGTGCTCCGGTGCTGTGAGCTTCCGCGAGTTTTCCAGCCTGAAGCCCGGCAACCCCAGCCCGGCACGGGTCTGCTTGCTGGGGTCTGCTATGCTTCCCCATGGAGAGCAGGGATGGAGGTGAGTCTGGGAGCTGGAGGCTCCCTCGGCCCCGGCAGGGCTGGCCCTGCACTTCTGGGACCCGGGCACCATCCCAGGGGGAGGAGGGGCTTCCCGGACCTGGTACCACCAGCTGGTTCCCTCAGCTCTTCCAAAGTGCTGATGAACTCCCTTTGTTAAACCTCTTGGGGTGAACTATACAGAGTGGCCTCTGAAGGTTTCTAAACTAACACAACCATCTAATGAAATTCTCCTGTTCCCAAGGACGACCGTGCAACCTGGAGAGTCCTATAGGGTTTGCAGCCAAATCACACCAGACACTCTGGCTCTGGGACTCAGGAAAATGATGGAGTGTGTTGACTTGAGTTTTCTCTTCCATAAAATGAAGCCATAGACAGATAAAAGTGTGTGTGTGTTTGTGTGTGTAGGTCTGTAGGTGTCGTTCAAGAAGATAGCATACGTAGCGTCCCTCTGCCATACTCACAGGTAGAGCTGATCAATATTTCACCATTTTTCTTCCTTTGAATCACACATTTTGTCAACATGTCTGATCTCCAGCAGGCTTTTGAAGTCAGTCCTGGGGACTTTAAGCCACAGGATCAAGACTCCTTAAGCAAAAAGTTGGTTTTGTTTTCAAGAGGAACAGCTAGGTTCCTGGGTGAGTTATTTTCTTAGTGATTATTCAGAAAATTGAGCAGGGTGGGCCTTGGTCCACGCACTCATGTGAAACACAGGTTGTAAGCCTTCATGAGGTTGTTTGGATGAGTGAGAAGGGGGCATTTGTAAATCTGGAATCACTTCACACTGCACAGGGCAGATGGTAGACACCCAGCCAATGTGTTTGAATTCTTATTTGCTGATGATGGACAGATGTACACAAAAGCAAAATGGGCAAAGTGGTTCTGAAGAGAAAGGGGAAAGGAAGCCAACAGGGGTGTCAGTGGCTGTCATTGCCTTAGATGCCCACAGCACTTCATAGTTTATAAAGTGATTTTTCCATTTCCTATTTCGCCATTGTGATAGGACTCTGGGGTAGGTAAGAAAAGGAACCTCAGTGTCTTTATTTTTACTTTTCAGTGAAAAAAGCGAAGCCCAAACTGACTGAATGGTTGTCCTGTGGACACACAGCCGGTGATGCGGAAGTTAACCGGTGCTGTAGACTGACCGTGTGCCGGGCAGCCCAGGGGGCTTCGTGCGCACCACATTCTTTAACCGTCAGATCGGTCTCAGGGCCTGTTAGAGCCACGTTCCCATTTGCAGAGGAGCGAGCTTCTCAGGAGGGTAGACGCTCTCTCAGGGAGACCCAGGAGCAGGTGGGGAAGCTCAGGCAGCCTGAGGACACGGCCCGGGCTTGTGACCATGGCTGTGTGCTTCGGGCGGGGGGTCATCTGCTCCTCGCCACGTTCGTGCACCAGGGCAGGCCTGGGCTGTCCACTCGTCTGTGTGGCTAAAAGCTCAATCCCAGGACCCAACCAAGGTGAAGCGTTTTCCCTTGAGTTATGTCTCATGAAAAGCTTCTCCACTTGTGCTGACTCTATGAAAATAATTTCAACCGGTAGTGACTACCTAGGGAACAAAGTAGAAGGTGAAATGTTGTCCATAGCAGCAACCAGAGCTACAAATGGTCAAAGAATTAACACTAAATAGGACCCTCATAAAAACTACTTAAAACATTTATTGAAAGACAAACATCACATCAGATATGAAAAAAGGCAAGATATATACCATATTCATGGATGAGGCAACTTGGCATTGTGAAATCTGTTTCACCCCACTCCAGTACATCTACCCAGGTAATGCTTTCCCAATAAAAACTCTAGTATGGTTGTTTTAAAGAATCAAACCATTTAAAGGTTGTGCAGCAACAAATATCCAGAATAAACAAGACACTTTTGAAAAAGAAAAGAGAAAGGGGAATTACCCTTCCATATATTAAGACACATTGGAAAAAAGTGATCAGGAAAATCCTGCTTCTGGAGAAAGAACTGACTTGTAGACAAGAGACAGAAATTTGGGGGCCCAGCAAGTGAAAGCACTTCAGTGAGGAGAGGAGGGGTGATCTGGTGCCTGGCAAGGAGGTGACATGCAGTCTATGGAGAAAAGAATCCTTGGACGCACAGCCTCAGACCAAGCTAAGGCATCACTGGAAGGACTGAAGACCTGAGCGGCAGAGACGGCTGTAAAGGCCGCTGAAGAAACGGGAGAGGGTCTCTATACTCTCGAGTGAGGCAGGAGTTCTTTAACTGTGTGCTGTCTTCCAAAGCACCGCCCATCACGAAGAGGGATGGATCCGATGTGTATGGTGAGGAGCTGGGGGATGGCTCAGAAGACACCATCAACGTCTGAAGCCGACAAGGCATGGCCAGCTAGAGGAGACGCAACGCTTCTTCAAAATTAAGAAGGAGAAAGGAGGACAATCAAGAAAAAATTGCCAAGAAAATGAGTAGACCGTTCTGAAGAGGGGCAACCTGAATGCCTGGAAGACACAGCACATGGGCACTAGAGAAATGCCGAGTTAAACCGCATTGTTCCTTCCTCTCGTACTCACTGGACTCTCAAAGTGAAACGCCTGATGAGTCCAGCTGCTGGTAGAGGATGCACAGAAATGGGAATCCAGGTGATGGGGTGGGAGGGGCCGGGGTACCGGCTCTGACAACTGTCTGCAGGCCTGGGGTGGCGTCTTAGCACACCCGGTGCAGCGTGAACAGGGTGTGAACAGGAGATGCCAGCACCCAGCTGTGTGACCCAGAAGAGGGGGTGAAGGCGGCGGTGACATGGGGGGCCCTGAGTCAGCTGGGGCCTTGTGCAGTCTGCAGCGGGTGCTGGACATGGAGCCCTTTGAGTGCATCGCAGGGCGCGCAGTGCGGAGGCTCAGCTCCATGCCAGTCAGTTGGTGAAGACATAAACACGCGAGCTTTGCTGTATGTTCCTGTTGGGCTGCACCCCGCAGGCTGCAAGCCCGGCGCACGCCCAGCTTTAAGACCGAAGAAAGAGCCTGGAGGCAGAGACAGGGACGTCAGTGGTGTCAGGGAAGGGGGAGCATACGTGTCTGAAGAAGTTCCTGGAGCAACACCCCATCATGTGCACTGGGTGGTGGGCAGGACACGGGGCAGCATTTGCTCCTGGTGGGGAGAGGAGATTGCCAGGTGTGGCTTATCAGTTACCAGGGAAACCCGCAGAGGGGCATTGCCCCTTACGACCCCTTTGATAAGAACGTCACAGCTGGGGCCTGGGGCCAGGGTGTAGGAAGGTCAGTCGTGTGACTAAGGTCCTGGTCAGGCAGGGGCTGGACCGAGGGCAAGAGGACAGCCGTTCTGAACGACCTGACCACACACTTTTTCATGCACAAAACTTATTCCAAGACAGAAACAACACATGGAGTGGTTTCCTGGAGGTGGACTGGGGCAGGCAAGGGATTGGATGGTGAACATAGGCGATGAGCTGGAAAAATATGAAAACAATAAAACAAAGTCAGGGTGTTTGGCACACTTCAGTGATGATTGCTCTGCACACTGGCTAGAAAAATTCCCAGAAAGTACTTAGAACAGCAAGAGGCAAGCAGTGAGAGATGGATCACCGTGCCCGCGGCTGAGTATGGATTTGTGAGTCAGGGGGTTCCTGCTCCCTGTGGCTGATGCTGGCCAGACACGTGTTGGCTCTGAATCCAGGTCTGCTAGACGCCAGCATTCGTTGTATTCCTATGAAAGCAGACACATTTGCCTATGAGGCAAAAGCAAGTGAAAGGACTCAGTCTGTGGTCCGGAGACCTGGGTGGTAGCCCAGAGTGAACCTGCACTGACCCGGGCTGGACCCTGATAGACCCTGGCCACTGGACCAGAGGGGGCTGGGGGGCTCCGCGTTGGCGGTGTTCAGTGTCGGAGGAGCCAGGAACTGGGGCACGGGAAAGAGTGAGGAGGGGTGGCTGGGCATCTGATTCTGATGGCTGTGTGGCGACCAGGAGCCAGGGCCGTGGCCAGCATGGAGCGGAAAAACAGCTTTGGTAGCACCGAGGGGGTCACTCCTTGGCGTAGAGGAGGGCCAGTGGCGGGGGCGTCACCCTGGGTGAGGCGGCAAGGGCTGCAGGGAGCCCACATTCTAGGGCAGCAGGCAGCATGCGGGGCTTGTGCCCTGCAGGGTCCAGGACGCGGGGGCCCATGTGTTGTTTGACTGCCGTTATCCCACAATCAGAAGGACCTTTGTCATAAGCAAGCCCTGAATGCTGGGGGTGAGGACGTGAGCAAAATGTTCTGTGCACACATCACGCCTCATTGGAGTGGAGACAGACCTAGGAAATCTTCCTCACTTAGGGTGTTTCTAAAACAATTAAAAATCAGTGATTTCTGATAAATCCTCCAAGGAGTCACGGGTCCCCCCGTTAGTGGTGGGAGCAGGAGGGCGAGGCGGGGGTGGGTGCTGGGACACCCACAGACCTTGAACGCTGGTCAGCCACTGGGCGCTCTGGCCGGCGGTCACAAGGTCAAACAGAGTTTATCGTGGCGTTTGGCCTGGAAGGGGCCGCGTCGCCCCTGAGCCAGCTCCGGCCCTGGACAGCGTCACTATGTGAGCATCACCTGCGTTCAGAGAGAAAGGCGAACAGCTCGGCTGTGGGGAAGACCTCATCCACAGAACCGGCTCACGTGGAATCCTGACCCAGGGCGCGTGGAGGCAGTTGACATCCACCTCCACAGGAAGGACTCACTTTGCGCCCCTTTGTCTGCAGCAGTGCTATTTCTTTGATCCAGTGCCTAGTAGGCGCACTCTTACAAAAAAGTGCTGTCGGCTCTATAACCCTGTAATGACTATGAAGCAGTTGAAATTGGCAGAATGGCCGCATTTCTGGGTGGTAAATAAACCCACTTACCTGTGTGCGGAGTGGTGGGTTCCCTCTGACCGCCCGTGTTCTTGGATGGGAGGGGCTGGGCCCCCGAGCTTCGGAAGGCTGTGCCTCCAGGAGCGGGTGCCACGGGGACACCTGGCCCGACCCATCAAGGAGGAGCCGGGGCCCATGGCATTGAGTATGCCTTTCTGGGACAGCGACTGTGCATGAAAGCCAGAACAAAGCCATTCTGGCAGCCCCTGCCCTCACCTCCCTGCACCTAGCTCTTTAACTGGAGACAGAGAATGAGTGATTTTAACCCCGAATGTGCTGTCACTTCGTGTTCAAGAGGGTGAGAAGGGATCGTGCTTGACAGATGAGTTGAAGATGAAAAGGACGGTTTCCTGTTCTTCCGCGATTCCAGCCTTTCTGGCTGACACAGCCTCGGCAGAGAGAACATTCTGCCAAAGGAAACACTCGCTTTGGGCCGGACGTGCTGTGCAACGTCTGCCCGTCCTGGCAGGAAGCCTCGGGAGGAGGACCCCCACTGCTCCCG